AAGCAAATCTTGCTTAGTGGTGTTCATTCTTTCTCAATATAAAATTATCACAAATAATAATCAACATAAGTTGTAACAATACCAAAATAGCTCATAAAATCATGATTTAACAATATCACTCTTCATAGCTATTGTAGCTTGTAGATATGTCATATACGTAGTAATTAATATCACCATTTTGTTCAAAGTCACCATTTCCAAATATTTCTGATATTGTATTACAAATTAAATTATACTCCATGCTCTTAACGCTTGCCATTCACTTTCAATGCATCCTTCCATTTTTCTCTCAGTTTGTATTTCCAAATCGAATTTCTATACATTTCTTATTTTGAAATTTTACTCCTTAGTTTTATGGATTGGATAAACGGGACGTTCTCATCTTTGGTACTGTCCACTCGGTGGCTACGGACCATCAGAGAACTATTTGGGCACTGACCACTCGGTGGCTCTGGCCGGAGCTCGTTTGGGTACTGTCCACTCGGTGGCTACGGACCCGTAAACGAACATATTTGGGTACTGTCCACTCGGTGGCTACGGAACCGAAATCATTGATCAAATTCTACGGCCGTGTTAATTATCCCTATTGGCATGCCAACCTATCCAATCCAAAAACACAGTTTCAATTTCCATATTTATTTATTATTCTGATCTAGCATTTTCTTCTTCTTTAGTAATATAATTATGGCGCACTATATATTTTATTGTTGTTTCCAACTGAACCTCTATGAAAGGCTTCTGATGATCGACTTTAATCATAAAATTTTAAGATTTGGTTATAACGCACCGTACACATGTTTGCCGTCCAACACTATCAATTTGATCACTTTTGAAGTCTAACCGACTTAAATACTTGAGCAAAACTATTAATTAGGAATTCGTCATATTGTTGTTATTTTTATTATTTTAACAGAAACGAATACTTCCTATTTATAATATTATAATTTTAACAGAAAAGAAACACTTCACAGTTTGGACCGTATATATAATTATCATTTCGAAAAATATCTGCTAGAAAGAAAATATAATAAATAATAACAGAAAAGATATATTGGAGTTAATATACATCTGATATGAAATCGAACATCTAAATCTGTTATATACTAGTATATAATAATAATAAAAACTGGACCGAGTAAAAAAAAAATATACAACTTATAAAAATTCCCAGAACGTTATATTCGAAGTATATACAAATATATAGTCTCAGATTTAACATTAAGTATAAAATAATTTTATATTAAATGTGCATAATTATTTATACTATGATATGCTTAAAATAATTAGATCCACAATAACTACTTTTGGCTTTACTTATCATGTTAAATAATAGGTTTGAAAATTCAATCATTAAATAGTGTACGTAATTACAGATTTAAATCTATGTTTTATATATAACATTATATAGGTAATGCGTGAGTGGATTTATGAAAGCTTAGCTTTCTTCTTAATCATAACATATACGAAGGTTAATTAAAAGTAAATAAGTGGACTTAAGGTATTCAAAATATGTTAATTAGTTTGAAAATTTTTCCCTAACGAGCATATAAGAGTGAGTTTTTATCATTATTATTCTACACTAAATCCAAAAAGTTAGTCATTATATTTTATTTTGAAAATAACATATATGGAACCCCTACTTGTTAATTCCTTTATCTATAATAATTGACATATCTTTATAATAATTGAATAAAAGCTAAACAATACTTCGTATAATTAAGTTCTTTAGCATTAAGATGAAATCTTTGTAGATTAAAAGTGTTATATTCCTTTATAAGAGAGTAAAATTTCCTTCTAAGTCAACAACATTTATCACTACGTACACATATGGGCATAGTGGTTTACTATCCAATATTTCTTCTACTTCAAAATAAGAATAATGCTTTTAAATCAAGATTTTATTATCTATCACCAACAACAATACATTAAAATGTACATAAACTAGCTAGCAGTATATAAAACGTAATGATATGAATGTATAGAACGTTCAACAATAAAATTGATGTAAAGCTTAATAATATGTTTTAAATTGAGAAGGGAATGAACACAGACCTATTAAAATTTTGGTTAGATTTGCTCTTCTCGGATTCCACCCTCACACTCCTCTCATTTTGATTTCATTTGCTCTAGTTTACTCCAGAGGTAAACGTAATGAAGGGACTCCAGCGGTTTCTACCGATAGCACGTACTATTTCTTGCTAATTCCTTTATTGCACTTAATATATTTACTATATAGAACATATCATTTTTGTTCTTATTCGTATAATGATCAGAGTGTTTTGCCTAGTGTCCTTGAGTTTTTGTTTGGTTAGACCATCTTATGCTTAGTGTCCTTTGGGATAGATATGTATCTACACGTGTCCTTCAATTTATTGTTTAATTATAAATACATATATTTATTTATAACCTAACTAATATATAATATATGTGTACACGTGTTTAGATGTTCATAGTAAAATTTATACGTACACTTTTTAGCTTAGTGGATAATGTTACTTTAGTTGTGCATTTTAGATCTAATTTATAAATTTCATTTTCGTATTTAAGTCATCTAAGATATTAAATAATAAGAACTAATTTTCTGGCACATGTATAACCTTAATATTTTCTTTCAAAAATTTGAAAATAAGTTTGAGGATGTTACAAATACTATCTAAAACAGTACAAGTACTATCTAGAACACTAAGTGAAAGAGAATTTGAAGAACAATTGATCTTTCCCAAGGCACTGGAATCCTTCAAGTAAAATAGTCCATTGTACATTTCAGCTACTCCAATCTTCTTGAAATTGGAGCGCTGCACAATGAAACACATGTTAAAAGAAAAGAGAAGAAAACAAGGAATGGTTTTGAGTAACTTTAAAATAGAAATGAGATGTACAAAAAAGGTTGGGATATATAGAACATCTCTAAGAAATAGATTTCCTAATTGAATGTTGTCAGAATAGGATGCCACAATGGAACTATTGTTAGGCAATCTAACATGTATAGGCTTGATTTCTTTAAGAGACAGAAAGAATGATTTACTAGGACAAATGTGGTCTGTGGCACCACTATCTAGAATCCAGGTGGAAGGAATGGAATTACCTGAACTCTCATTTTTGAATTGTTCAATGTGATTGACAGAAGATGATGAAGGGTTCACTTTGGTTTGCTGGAGCAAAGCTATGATGGCATTATATTGATCCTTTGAAAGAGTGAACTGATCATGATTAACACCATTGACCAAGGAAGAATGCTGTGAGGCAGTATTTGTGTCCACTTCAGCCAAACTTGCAGATGGTTGGAAGACTGAAGGATTGTTTCTCCCACGAGTCTTATACCCAGTTGGAAAACCATGTTTATGATAACATGTCTCAATTGTGTGATTAGTCTTTCCACAGTGAGTACACAACTTATTTCTTTTCCCAGTGAATCTATTGGTGGCATTGTTGCTCTTATAATTGCTGTGTGGCTTTTGGAATGAAAACTTGATTGACATTTTCTTTTGAGTTGATGAACGCAACAGTAGTGTCAGCAGGTGAAGAGAAGATAGGATCACCAACAAATTCTCTCTCATGTTGAAGAACTAAATTGAAAATCTTAATGATTGAAGGCATAAGATCAATTATCATGAGTTGGGATCGAATCTGTGCATACATGTCATTCAAACCTCGCAAAAACCTAATTATACATTCATCTTCTCTTTCTTTCTTGACTTTCTTAATCAAATCACAGGAACAAGGTGTAGCACAAGTACAGAGAAGATTACAACGGTACAGTTTCAATTCTTTCCATAGAATATTTAAACGAGTATAGTATTCGGACACTGTTGATGTACCTTGTTTGCAGGTTTGAATTTGATCTTGAAGATTTGGAATACGAAATTTGTCAGAATGTGAGAAGCGTTCCTGAATATCTTTCCATATCTCTGAAGCTGTATCCATCCACATTACAGACTGTTTAATGGAAGGACTCATCGAACGAATTAGCCATGGCATCACCATGCGATTGCATCGCTTCCAAGCTTCTGATAATGGATATGAATTTGGTGGACAAGGAAGAGTTTCGAAGATGAAATGTTCCTTGTTTTTGGATTCCAGCGCAACAACCATATCTCGTTTCCATTGATGATAGTTGTTTTCACTCAAAGGTGGAGCAACAAGAATAATGGCTGGATTTTCTCCAGGCTGAGACATAATTGGTGATGATTATGAAGAGGTGATGCTTCCAAAATCTGAAGAATGCGGAAGAAATGAGATGAGCAGTATCTCTGATACCATGAAAGATTTCTTGGAAACGAAAGATAGAAAAAATCATCTATGATTCATTGAAGAAGCAGAGTACAACACATAGTTCCTTTATACAAAGTTTCAGAAGTAACCAATTAACTAACTCTAACTAATTGAACAAACGAGATGAGAATACATTTTGACTATTTTGATTGTACTATCCTAATAAAGGTAATTGTTAGTTTTTTAATTGCACACATAATTATTACGGAGTATTATTTGTGGAAAAAGCATAATACTACGTATTTCATACACAAATTAAAGTTATTGTGCCAAAAAGAAGAATGAAGGGCAAATTTATGTAAACACAAAATCATATTCACAGAAATCATCCAGTTACAAATAATTTGTGGACTGTTTTGTTTGTCGAGTCGGGGATAATGTCGCGTGCCAGCTTTGGATTTTTTGTTTTGAATTTTGGGCTGAGAATTCTTTACCGTGATGGTTTTGATTGACCGGCCTTCTAAACACCTCTCCTCCTGCCATTCACTAGGATCAGTGCACGAGATCTTTCAAAATTCCTATAAAAAACAAAACAAAAAAAGAATGAATTTTTTATTTTCAAACTTTAGAAAACAACTCCATAAGACATTGGAAATGTAATCCATAACACTCATAATTTTCTATAATTTTATAGGCCAGTATTTACCCAAAATGAGGTGATGTACCTTTAGGAAAATATGGGGTGACATATAATCATTATTATATGTACTTCTAATTTTTGTTAATATGATTGAGAATATTGAATAACTAACATGTCCCTAAGTCCAAAATGTTAATCAACCTCACTCAGATCTAGAAAGCTTTGGACGACGCAGGAAGGACGAAGCTCCCTCACTTAGACCACCGAAGCACGGCGAGCAATTTCCCTCCTAAACAGAGGTAATGTATTCGATCTTGTCTTAATCCTGAAAGTTCAATTCAACTAAAGAAACCCTAAGAAGCTAATCACCGATTCTCCCTATTTTATAAACGCCCGCAACCCTTCTTTAGTTTACCTGCTGTTATTTTAATCCTACCTGCGGCTCTCCCTCCCTGTGGATTTGGTATAATTTCAAATTTGATTGAGGTGTGCAGACGTTTGTGTGCTTCATCGGTTTGATGTAATTTTTATTTCAATTTTGATCTGTGAGTGAAGTGTATTTCTATTGTTCTGGTATCTCCTTTCAGCTTCTAAAGAATTTCTGGAATGCTTCTACTTTCAGCTTATATTATTTTGAAGGGAGCTTCTAATTTGCATAGATTTCAGTATGTCATATAGGTCCATACATTCAGTTACTAGAGCTTGAGTAACTCTATTACGAGTGATTTTTTATGGACTGAGTTATTCAAGCTGCTTATATTTCTGTTGGACATATAAAATGCAATTTTTCAAATTACACAAACTGCTATAAAGAGTTTTATTCTTTGGGATGCTGCTCTTAGTTTAGCTTTTGTTTTTCAAAATTTGCTCAAACTGCCCTGAGACTAGCTTTTCTTATACTTGTACAAAAATACATCAATGTGGAATTTCATTGATTGTTTGAGGACATTTCCCCTATGCATCATGATGCACTTTTTTAGTTTTTTTAAATAGTAACATAAATTCATCAGTCTGGAATATCTTTAGTTTCTTTCTAAATCAAAATCTAGATCTTGTTTGAAATTGAAATTCTCCGCTTATCCATAAAGAAAAGACTGCTCATTTATATGGCTGAAATCTTTAACTTGGCTGAACTCTTTAACTTTAGTTTATTTCATAAATAAATTTTTGGTAAATATCATAACGCAATAGTCTTAAGAAATATAGTCATATGTTATAAATCATTTGATAAAGATAAGGGGATACTGGTTTTATGGTTGTAAGAGTTAATAAATCTATAGCATACCAACTAACAAACTTTAAGAGAATGCTTTTCTGGATTTTCTTTTCCTTTTTGAAAAAGTGAAAAATACACGTATCTGGAATGTCTTGTTTGATTGGTTGGTTTCAGAATGAATCTTGATCTAGGCATCTTGCAAGTATTTAGGGCCATTCCCTTATTCACATGAAGATTTAGAATTATTTAAATCTAGCAAGTATGCTTCAGTTATTTAGAATGATGATGTGATTTTAGAAATAAAAAATATACAAACTATATAAAAAGAATAATTTGTTTGTACGTATTTCCTAACCCCACCCCCCTTTAAATAATTAATGCCATAATGCTTGATGAAATATTAGACAGTAAGGTTACAAATTGATGAGATGTTGAGGATGCATGCAGATGCCAGTACAAGGGGGGTTATTTGGTGTGGTGTATACATATCGTTTAAAGCCACATTTATCAAGGCCCACACTGTTTTCCAAAATAGTTTATTGAGCATTTATCGCGGGAATAAAAAAAATTAATATTAACTCAGGATAATCCTTATTATGGAAGCAGGGTGGCCTTGTAAACGCCTAAGGTGATTTTGCTACCATCCCATTGCTCAATAAAGTTGTGTTTTCTTGTCTTAAACTTCCTTCACATGGCTCAACATCAGTAGTTCAGCATGCATTTTGTTATTATATAATCCATTCGTCTTCCTTTTTCCAAAAATGAGGTTGCTCATGCACATCATTACAGGAGAATCAGTTACCTGTTATCAAAGTTTTCTCCAAAATCAAGATACAGCATGTTAGAAGCATGACCAACACAGCTTTTTTAAAAAGTGAGGGGGGGGGGATTAAGCTGCCGATTTAAAGGATTAGACCTTAACTTACAAAATTATGGGGTGGTGAGGATGGAGACAACATTGATGGGGAAAATTAGATGCTGTTCGAATTGAAAATATAGCAGTTGGTGAAATACAAACTAATTAAATGCTGTATATTTTTTAAATAGACATGTGGCTTTATACCTTTCCAAATAGATATGTGGCTTTAAATTTATACATGGAAAGAATATTTGCAAACTGTTCTCAATCTCACTTGAAGATTTACAGAAGGGAATTTATCTTCTGGATTCCCAGTATTGGCTAATGACAATGGTACACCTTCAAGAGGTAAACTAACTCGTGCATTTTAAAAAATGTGGCAGTTAGTTTAAAGCTCTTGAAGTAGTTTAGTATCATATGTCTTTTTTGAGTTGATATATGTATTAGTGAGTACACTATATTATGTTATGTTTTAATGCCCTTATATTAGTGAGTACATTTTCTCCTGTACCAACCAACCCCAAAGCCTAGACCTTTTCTTGCAGTTCATTTAGTTAGAAAATAGATAATTACGTAGTATATCAGTAAAATAGAAGTACTAAAATCACCAAGTAGTTTGAAAGTATCTTTGGATTAAAATTGTGCCTTTATATTAAGATGTTGACTTTAGGGTAAATAATAGCTTGAGTCCTTGAACAACTGGTTTTTATAAATATTGCTAAGCAGTGTTAGGATCTAGGAGAAGTGGGCAACCTGCTAAAGTTAAGAAATATTTTTTGTTGTTGAAGACTTGAATTAGATCAATTATTAATTTAACATCATAATTATCTATGTAAGAAAATTTCCCTTTTCAAGTCATTTCTTGAAAAAATCTCTTGTTAGTATCTCTTGATACAATCTCTTGAAAAAATGGTTTTGAATTATTATTCAATTCTTAAAGCATTGTTAGTATCTTATGATGAGGGTCTTCACCTTCTTGATATAAGATGAGCAGCTCAGTTAATGTCGTAATGTACCTCCTAATGATCTCATAAAACATTCATTTGGAATCATAAGAAAATAAGAGTAAAAAAGAGTAGGTAGAGTTTCTAAGACAGAGTATCATCATAATTTGGATTGTTAAACTTATAGCATGTGAAAATGTATGCAGGGAACTTCACCTTCTTTCTGAAAGATGAGCAGCTCAGTTTATAGCGTAATGCACCTCCTAATGATCTCGTAGACATTTATTTGGAATCTACAAGAGAAAGAGAATAGCTAGACTTTCATGAGACAGTGTATTTTATCATCATAATTTGGTTTGTTAAATTCATAGCATGTCAAAATGAATGCAGGAAATGTATATTCGTGTTAAGCGGGGTAAGACAACCTACTTTATTAGCTGTCAACCAACTGAGACAATCAGACAAATCAAGGATAAATTGCATATCCTCATAGATCAACCTGTAAATGATCAGCGCCTAATTCTATTGAATGGGGGAGTTTTGGATGATGCAAAGACGTTGGCAGATCAGAAGGTAAATCTCCAATATATTTTCAGCCCATTAGTCCATGACATAAATCTTAAGTATTTCAAATATAATAGACACCCTCTTCTCCGCATCATTTATAGGTTTTTGGTTTTGGCCTTACTTCATGTGCCTTCATATTGAATCTTTACTCCCTCCATTATAAATAAATTAATGCACATGCCTTTCAGGTTGAAAATGACGCTGTGCTTGCACTGACTCTGAGACAAGGTTCTCTTTCTTTTATAACTCTTCATTTCGATTTGGGATAAGGGTCAGTTTGGTTCTCGAAGTTGCAAAAAGGGGGTCAAATAAGTCCTTATATAGAAAATTCTGTCCGGACGTGCCATTTGAGGTGGCTCCCGGTGGAATTTTTTGATGAAATTTTTTGAGCATCTTATTCATTAAGTCTAGTTTACTCATACCAAATTTCAGATAAAAATTCAATCGGGAAGACATTCAAATGAATTCTTGAAGATAACTGTGCCGTTAAAAGCGCTGTTATCTTCAAGAATTCATTTGAATGTCTTCCCGATTGAATTTTTAGCTGAAATTTGGTATGAGTAAACTAGACTTAATGAATAAGATGCTCAAAAAAAATTATCTCAAAATTCCACCGGGAGCCACCTCAAATGGCACGTCCGGGCAGAATCTTCTATATAAAGACTTATTTGACGCCTTTTTTGCAACTTCAAGGACTAAACTGACCCTTTACTCATTTCGATTTTGTATGCTTTCTTGCTTATTAGATACTAAATATACATCCACAGAGTAGTGTGCATTCTTATATACTATCAAACTATTGATAGTACCGTTTTGCAGTGTTGCGCTGTAGTTTGAAAAAAATTAATTAAACCAATATTGGTTAGTGATAAAAGAGGGTAAATATTCACTTGGACTATAGAACTAGTAAAGCAAGACTAGTTCTTATTTATACACACAATCTTCATGAGATATGAAAACACTATTGTTAGATAAGGAATCAAGGATATATTTGGAAGCTAGAATTACAAATGATATGCTGAAACTCAAGTTAATTAGAACATCAATGATAGTAGAATTATATAGTATCTTTCCGTTTTTCTTGCACCATTTAATTGATTATTCATGAGTATTTTTCCTGCTTTTTCTTAGGTAACAACGAATTTGAGGATGTAACTATCATGAAACCAGATGACTCTTTAGCTCTGTGATCCAGATAGCGTTGGCTAATTTGTGATGCATGAAAGAACTAATGGAACCACCATTGCTCTCCATATAAATATCTGTACAATGGAGTTGAGATAGCTGTACTAGTTTTTTTTTAAAGTTGCACTTGTAATTTTGCTATGCTTTCTGACCTTGCTTTGTGGACAAACTACCATCATGTTAACATTTTGGTTTTAGTTTAAGTTATTGCAGAGCAGCAGCAGGTGAACAGGTTACAATTTGCAACTGGTTCTGTTGTTGTTTACTATAGTGGGCTAATGCGTCAAACCACACAATGTAAGATCCAAATTCCGAGTATCGGACTCCTTTTTTTTAAAAAGGGATCAAATCCCTTTATCCACACATAATACCCTGAAACATTAAATTTTGAATTTAGAATTCAAATAGAATATAGCCGTTGGGAATTGGGATTAGGCGCGTGGAACATTTGTTGATTGAACTATATTTAACTAAACCTAACAAATAGATTTAATTTAGTATAATGTATACATTTCATATTTGAAATATATTAATATTTTCTCAAAATACCCCAAAAAAATCAATATGAGCTGGGAATCTGGGATTAGATTGGGCCTGGCTGGTTGATCGGAAGTCAGGGGCTCGGGGCCAATCCAAATTCTAAATATTGGTTCAATCCTAGGGATGGACTCGTTGTGGGCCGCTCGGCCTGCTACTGTGCAGAATCGGTCCGGCCCGAAGGGGTAACCGGTTCCGGGTCATGAAAAAGCTCGGGGCCAATCCAAATTCTAAATATTGGTTCAATCCTAGGGATGGACTCGTTGTGGGCCGCCAGGCCCGCTACTGTGCAGAATCGGTGCGGCCCAAAGGGGTAACCGGTTCCGGGTCATGAAAAAGGCGAATCGACCAGGCCGGGCCCGGTTCGTTTTTTTTTTTTTGTTTGGACTGGGTTTAGTTGGGCTGGGTTGGGTGTTTCCCAAGGGGTGGGGCCGTGGGGGTAGGGATGGACCCGGGCCGGGCCGGTTCCGGTTCCGGGCCGGGCCCGGGCGGGCTTTTTTTCGGGTTACATGGGCCCGGAACCGGCCCGGGTTGATACCGGGTCCGGGCCTAACCGGGCCGGGCCGGGCCGGGCCCGGTTCAATGTTTTTTTTTTTTTTTTTTTTTGACTTTCTTGTTATCTCCCTACCCCCCCCCCCCTCACCCCCACGCCCCAAACCTCCCTAAAACACCCAGCCCTACCCTAGGAAAAGAAAAAAAATTGAAAAAACCAAAAAAAAAAAAAAATGAACCGGGCCCGGCCCGAACCGCCCGGCCCGGTTCAACAAAAATAGGGCCCGGAACCGGCCCGCCCGACCCGCCAACACGGGCTAAAAGCCCGGAACCGGCCAACCGGGCCCGGTCCGGGCCCGCACAGTAGCGGGCCGGTCCGGTTCCGGGCCGGTTCGGCCCGGCCCAGTCCATCCCTACGTGGGGGGATGGGGGGAATAAATAAGAAAGCACAAAAAAATAAATTTAACCGGAACCGGCCCGGGCCGGTTCCGGGTCTTACCCATAACCATCCAAGCCGGGCCCAAGCCCGGACCGGAACCGGGCCCGGTCCACCCCTATTTAGTTCTGGGTTCAGCAAAAAAACAACCCTGACCACCAGTCCGTGTCTAGTTGTCCACCCCTAGTTTTAGTTAATGTCAATAACATACATGTATGGTCCACTGTTTTGATGGTATGTGATTGAAATTAAAATCTTTAAGTTGAAATGAATCAAAGAGATAGAGTAAAATTGATAATAAATACGAATTATTTTATTATAGTGTGCTGAATCAAAATGTTATTATTGTCACCATCTTTGTGTTTGCACCTTTAATTCGAAATGCTGTGTCAAAGGTATTTGAATCGCAAACATCAATACTGATCAAAGTTCTATTTTTGTAGCAAAATTACTATGTCTTTAGTTGTAAATCACATTATTCTACGTCCATCGCCAGTCACCACCTAATATCTTTACAAGTATACAATTTGTTTGATTTTGTAGTTTCCAAACAAATATGGATTTGACCCGGCAAGGAAGAATCGTATTGTAAACATATTCAAGGTTCACCCATACGAGCTTTGATTCAAGTAAAACCAATTTGGCCAATTGCTGGTAATAATTAATTAATGAGAAACCAAGTGGAAAACTTGTTGGAAATTTTTAATATATTTCAAATAAAAACTATTGACTTAATTAGTATCTAATTACTAATGACGACCGAGCACTTATTTGACTAAGTGGACTAAACCGTTTTCTAACGTGCAAATTCGTTGAATGAGTAATACTTGGCTCTGCTTTTTTGTTTCCACTTTTCTAGGATCAATAACAATTTGTTTCAATCCTTTTTCTATTAATAAAGGAGAAGCTCTGCACTCGAAGACTACTCACGAACTCACGAACTCACGAACAAAACTGCTCTCACAAAGTTTTTCTCTCTGAATACTTTACACAGAACATGGGTTCATTTCAAAGCTTATGCTGGATTATTAATTTGATGATTTCCCTCGTAGTTCTGGTTCCGACTATTAGTCGAAGGGCTCGTTTAATCCTGGGGGAAGATTTCCGTTCACCGAAAATACTTTCAGAGGACAGCGTTTACGCGACTCGAGTCACGGTGTTTCTTGTTATTCTATTTTGCAGGTCTATCTTTGTGATGGCTATACGGAAGCTATGGAACTGTGGTAATATTCAAGCAAGTGTGAATGAAGGCACAACAAGGTGCTGCCATTTGCCGCAGAGAGAGGGAGAAGCAACTCGCCGGAGTGCAGCGTATCCGCCGGACAGAACTGGACGCCCAGGAGCAAGGGTTAAAGTCAAATCCCCAACATTCTCTGAAAGTATTTCCGGTGAGGATCACTGTTGCTATCCATGTCATCTGCGCTCCTGCGATTCCAAGTAAAAGGGCAGCTGCAATGTTTGCTTACATGCCCACTACGCAATCTGGTATCTCTGTTAATCATTTTGGTTTCATTATTCTTATACTGCCATATTCGAATTGTACACTACCACATTTGGAGTGTACCGTACTCTGCCTGCATTATTTTTTTTATTTTATCTCAATTTGTGATTATGTTATGTGTCACCCTATTCACAATAAGCCTTATTTTAATCCCACTTATTATAAAATATGTCATTTTATGTGATAAAAAGACAACTATGAAAAACAACAACCCACTTAAATCAAAATGAAAATTGATTAAAAGTGATGATATTTTTGTTGCGGTTGTTTCTCAAAGTTGTAAAATAAATTATGTGAATGAATGGATGGTAGACTCCGGGGCTACCAAGCACATTTGTAAAAACAAAAGTGCTTTTACCTCCTATAGTACTACTATGGGAGATGACGAAGAGCTCGTGTATCTAGCAGACTCAAAAACCGCAAAGGTGCACGGTAAAGGGAAAGTTCTTTTAAAACTCACGTCGGGGAAAACTTTATCACTAAATGACATACTTTATGTGCCTGAGATTCGAACTAATTTAGTTTCCGTTTCTCTCTTGGTAAAAGCTGGGATTAAAGTATCTTTTGATTGTAACAAAATTGTTATGACCAAAAATGATATTTTTGTGGGCAAAGGCTATTGTAAGAATGGACGTTATGTGCTTAGTATTCCGAAATTAATGCGTGAAAATGCTTCTTATTTGATTGATTCATATGATGTGTGGCATGCAAGATTAGGACATGTGAGTGATTCTTATATCAATTTGTTGCGTGATCATGGTTTGATTTCTAGTGGAAAGAAATTGACACTAGAAAAATGTGATGTTTGTGTTGAATCAAAACAAACCAAAAAATCATGTCCTACCACTCATAGGGAATCAGAACTGCTTGAGTTAATTCACACGGATTTGGGTGATTTAAAAAATACCATGACTAGAGGTGGTAATAAATTTTATGTCACCTTTATTGATGATTTTTCGAGATACACTAAAGTTTATTTGCTTAAAAGTAAAGATGAGGCTTTTGATAAATTTTTAGTGTATAAATCCGGGGTGGAAAATCAATTGAATAACAAGATTAAGAGAGTGAGATCGGATAGAGGGGGCGAATATATTTTAATAAATGATTTTTGTGAGAGGGAAGGAATTATTCATGAGACAACTCCTCCATATTCGCCTGAATAAAATGGAATAGCTGAAAGAAAAAACAGGACATTAAAAGAAATGATGAATGCTCTTTTAATTAGTTCTGGTGCTCCTGATAATCTGTGGGGGGGGCTATTCTTTCTGCTTGTCACTTACAAAACAGAATTCCTTATAAGCACAATAAGAGAACACCCTATGAATTGTGGAAAGGTTATGTGCCTAATTTGAAATATTTGAAAGTGTGTGGGTGTTTGGCTAAAGTCTTATTGCCTGATCCTAAGAAGAGGAAAATTGGTTCTAAGACATCTGATTGCATATTTATTGGTTATGCTGAATATAGTGCTGCTTATAGATTTCTTGTTTTGAAAAGTGATGTGCTTAGTTGCAATACTATTATTGAAACAAAAAATGCTGAATTTTTTGAGAGTGTGTTTCCTTTAAAGCCAGAATACAAGACCGTTGTGCCATATCGTGAAAGTGAGCCATTAAAAGAAAATAATACTTTTAATGATGAACCCTCTAATTTGAGAAGAAGTAAGAGGCCAAGGATAGAAAAATCTTTTGGAATTGATTTTTATACATATCTTGTTAATGACGAACCTTTTACTTATTCACAAGCTATTTCATCAAAAGAGGCTCCTTTTTGGCTTGAGGCAATTCAAAATGAAATTGAATCTATTCAGAAAAATAAAACTTGGATTTTAACTGATTTGCCTAAAGGGTGCAAACCAATCGGATGTAAATGGATTTTTAAAAAGAAATTTAATCCGGATGGTTCAATTGACAAATATAAAGCGAGGCTTGTGACAAAAGGTTTTCTCAAAAACAAGATGTTGATTATTTTGATACTTTTGCACCGGTAACGAGAATATCTTCCATTAGAACTTTAATTGTCTTGGCTTCTATTCACAAACTTCTTATCCATCAAATGGATGTTAAAACGGCATTTTTAAATGGTGAATTAGAGGAAGAAATTTATATGGTGCAACCGGAGGGTCATGTAGTTTCTGGACAGGAACACAAAGTGTGTAAGTTGGTCAAATCTTTATATGGTTTGAAACAAGCTCCTAAACAATGGAATGAAAAATTTGATGAAGTATTATTTGCTCATGGTTTTACCTCACTTGAAGTAGATAAATGTGTATACACTAAAATAAAAAATGGTGTGTGCATTATTATTTGCTTGTATGTGGATGACATGCTAATATTTAGTAGCAACCTTGAGCTAATAAATGAGACAAAATCATTTCTTGCTTCAAAATTTGATATGAAAGATTTGGGTGAAGCAAAACTGATTTTGGGTATTAAAGTCATAAGGAAGGATGATGGTATTATATTATCTCAAGAGCACTATGCTGAAAAACTTCTAAAGAAGTTTGGACATTTCAATGTCAAACCTGTGAATATCCCTTATGACTCTAATACACATTTGAAAAAGCATAGAGGTGATCCTGAGGCTCAATATGAATATGCACAAATAATTGGGAGTTTATTACATTTAATGAACTATATGAGACCCGACATAGCTTATGCTGTCGGAAGATTGAGCCGATATACTCATAACCCAAGTGGGGATCATTGGGCCGCGTTGAGGCGGTTATTGAGATATTTGATAGGTACCATGAATTATGGTATATTTTATATAGGTTTACTCGCTGTACTAGAGGGATACAGCGATGCTAACTGGGTCTCTGACTCAGATGAGATTAAATCCAATACTGGATATATATTCACCCTTGGAGGTGGTGCTATTATGTGGAAATCAGCCAAACAATCTCTCATTTCTAGATCCACTATGGAGTCCGAGCTTATAGCTTTGGAAGTGACTAGTAGTGAGGCGGAGTGGTTGAAAAATTTCTTAGCGGAAATTCCGGTTGGTACAAAACCAACACCATCAGTGTCTATTCTTTGTGATTGTCAAAGTGCAATAAATACTGCTAAGAAAATGTGTTATAATGGGAGGAATAGACACATTCGTTTAAGACATAAAGTCATTAAACGATTATTGAAGAATGTAATTATTTCCATTAATTATGTGAGGTCAGAAGGAAATCTAGCGGATCCTTTGACTAAAGCCCTAGGACGAAAAATGATAAGTGAAACCTCGAGGGAAATGGGACTTGTGTCACTTGATTACAAATAGGGATGGTAACCCAACTTGTGTGATTGGAGATCCCATGAAGCAAGTTCATATGGGTAATAACAAGTCTTCTATTTGTTCTGCTAGCCTTATTACAAGTCTCTTTATATGGTGTGGAAGGCTAGACTACATTCGCTGTGAGGCTGAGCTAAAACTCTTAATGATTTTCACAGCCCTTACGGGTGGTGTGTTAAGTGCAGAACACACTTGATGAGATCACCTATATGAGTGTGAGGTGGGGCCGCCTCTATGAAGCCTTGACAACGCTTCTAGAGCACTCACGAACATCAGGCACGCGCACGGCCGAAATGCGCACCACGGCGTTAACGTGAGGAGTTGTGCGGGATGAGACATGGCCATTAAGACCCTGATTTACCATAGTAGCTTCTTGGTTCATAGAAACTATACGTTTCACCAAAAGCTCGGTTTATAAAGACTTAATCGTCTCGGTTTGGTTCATAGTCTACGGACACCAAGCTTAAAGTCTCATTCCTTTAATCCAGCAAATTTTAAAATTGTTTTTCTCAAAATATTTATTTGAAATATGTGGTGGATTGTTGGAAATTTTTAATATATTTCAAATAAAAACTATTGACTTAATTAGTATCTAATTACTAATGACGACCGAGCACTTATTTGACTAAGTGGACTAAACCGTTTTCTAACGTGCAAATTCGTTGAATGAGTAATACTTGGCTCTGCTTCTTTGTCTCCACTTTTCTAGGATCAATAACAATTTGTTTCAATCCTTTTTCTATTAATAAAGGAGAAGCTCTGCACTCGAAGACTACTCACGAACTCACGAACAAAACTGCTCTCACAAAGTTTTTCTCTCTGAATACTTTACACAGAACATGGGTTCATTTCAAATCTTATGCTGGATTATTAATTTGATGATTTCCCTCGTAGTTCTGGTTCCGACTATTAGTCGAAGGGCTCGTTTAATCCTGGGGGAAGATTTCCGTTCACCGGAAATACTTTCAGAGGACAGCGTTTACGCACTCAAACCACGGTGTTTCTTGTTATTCTATTTTGTAGGTCTATCTTTGTGATGGCTATACGGAAGCTATGGAACTGTGGTAATATTCAAGCAAGTGTGAATGAAGGCAAGACAAGGTGCTGCCATTTGCCGCAGAGAGAGGGAGAAGCAACTCGCCGGAGTGCAGCGTATCCGCCGGACAGAACTGGACGCCCAGGAGCAAGGGTTAAAGTCAAATCCCCAACAAAACTATCATTCAAAACAACACCAATTATTAACATGTAAAACTTTCAACCAACCAATTCAAGACCTTGCAGGATGAAGTTATTACTCCAGTAATTTTCGTTCACTACTTTTCTCATATGTCTAGAGGTTTCCTTGGAGAAGTATTGTGGCCATATTTGTCGATAACTCATTGTCATAAAGCATCTTCTAGTCAACTAACTTAACTCCTAGTCAAACATTTTCTACTTTCTAATACACACACAAAAAAACATTATTATCTAATTAATGACAGGGTTTCGATCATGTTTTGGATAAAAGACCAAGCACACACTCGCAGTCTATTGGTTACATAAAAAAACATTATTATCTTAATTATCAATTGATCATGATATATTGTGGCTCTTGAACAAAAGAAAGTAATATCATATTCGAGCAAAAAATAAACTAATACGCCTGGAATAATTAATTGTTTACTTTAATTTGTACTCGTACTATACAGTCTATACACTCGCAGTCTGACTTCGTGTCTATTGGTTACGTTACGTCTTAACGCCTAAAAGGAAAGAAGAGCACGACATTAAATAAAAATGTAAAATTCTCGCCGTTGCTGGGGATCGAACCCGGGTCACCCGGGTGACAGGCGGGAATACTTACCACCATACTACAACGACCCTTGTTGTTTAACTCATCTGATTTAGCTTATTTATTCATTCCGCAAAATGAGTAACATTAAACTTAGAATGACAAAGCGGAAGAGAGTAAAGGGTTAAACCATGTTTCTAAGGGGAATGGGTAAAACGAGAAAGGGTTTGTAAGCATATTGTTTTCAATTATTTGTAAAATCGCGAAGGACATTTTTGGTCAAGTAATTTCTGATTTTCGTCGTTATTGGTATGTAATGTTTCTCGCTGGTAGGTTTGATAATATAACTAACAAATATGTGCAATTTAAAGACTTTTGTCACCATAAAGTACATTTTCTATCTGAAAATTCTCCGCAGCCATCTATAAAGTAAAGTTTTTTGCGGAAAGTGTACTTTACTATGGAAAAATATTTAAATTATACAGGTTCAATAGTTACATGACTAGATATGCAATCGAATATAGTTACAACATGATTAATAACGGGCACAATTAAAAGTTTAAAACTTTCGAGCAGACGTGTTGGAACATTTGGATCAATAGATTGGACGAGTACATTCAGGTGGGAGGGAATTGTTGAACCTTTGTTTATCCCCACAATAGTCATAGGTGATGAAGTAATTCCTCACCCATTTGTAGAGCCTTCTTTGGTATGGTGTTAGGGTCTTAGCCCTGTCCTTATTCCACCAATATGAAGGCCCCCCTGCCCTACAATCCCTTCCATTGTTGCCCTTCCACACACAGCCCTCTAGTTTGTAGTCCTTGAATGAAGCTATGAATGGCGCCTTTGACCAGTCCACTTTGACTTTTCCGCCACTAGTCGCCCAGCTGCTGCCGTCCCATAAGCTGACGGTCAACCCCATCGGCTTCCACCCGGGATATGCCACCCCATCATCTTCATGGTTTCGGAAGGTTCTTATGGGTATCTTATCCACCAAAAACCTGCATCATATTTTAATAAGTAGTGGGTACCGATTTAATTCCATCTTAGCGGTATGGGGAATAGTACGTATATATTTTGTGAAGTTTATAAATTTGATAAAAGTGTGTTTAACAAAGAATATTTTCATATATATATATATATATATATATATATATATATATATATATACACGATAGTATAATTTGTTATCATTAGACAAGATCTACCATCATTAATTAAAAAAATCTAAAGATAGTGAGTTAGCTGTATAAGATGGAGTGAGTAATTATTTTGAAGTGGTAATACCTCCCTCTTAATCCTTATACTCCGTATAATTTAATTAAGAACTGCAAATTTGCAAACATTTTACTTTTACGCAATCTACAATCAAGTTTGGTCATTTCTTGATCAACGTACCAACACAAATTTCATTGTGTACGATATTTTTAATCTATCCCAATTTAGAGTCGTTTGGTAACTTTGAGAATAGGCTTATTTGGAAATCATATTTTTTTGCACAACTTTAATTTTTCATCAAACACGTAATTTTTGATTTCACACGTTAAAATTGTATCACAATCAAAATAAATAAAGTTAGAATTACTTTCCTAACTGAATTTGATGAAGTTAGTCTAGAAAGTCATTTCAACTATTTTCCATAAATCAGCACGATTAACTAATCCGGCCACTTAAGTTAGAATTTCGTAATTAACATTCAGCATAACAAGTCGATGAAGTCAATTTCAATGTTGCAAAACGGGCTCTTAAAATGTAATACTACCTCCGTTCTCTTTTAAATGCAACATTGGACTTTTTGCACTATTCACATGTTCTACTTTGACTACGTTTTATTTATTAATGTAATAATATATATATTTGAAAAAAATATTATTAAAATTTTCTCATTATAAATTTTCAAAATCTATTTTTTAAACTTTTTTTACTAATCGGGAATTATATATATTAATGGTCAAAGTTGTGTCTCGGCAAATGTGAAATGTTGACTGTTGCATTTATTTAAGAACGGAGGAAGTATAATTCTACTCCGTACGTACTATGTAATTCTTAGTGGTGAACTCAAAATAAAAAGGTACAGTATAAGTTCTTGGAATATAATTGATGGAATAGAGTAGAGCACATACACGACTTGGTAAAAGTTCCAGAAGATGGAATAGGTGTGGAAGTCTTTGGTTGGATCGAACCAGAGATTAATCCTTTGCTCCCTGCTCCCAGATCCGTTAGTATAAACATTGGTTTGAAGAATATATGGCTTTCCCTCTTCATTTCCCAGGAATTCGAAGTCTAACTCATCACGGTTCGCAAACTGCTCGGTCGCTAACTGCATCATTAAAATAATCACCAACACATAAGAATTAATATACAGTTTTCTATTTAGGTATCTCATAAGTGACTCTAACAACATATACTTAGCCATTCCGGGCAACTCCGATTTGACTTTTAGTATGAAACCCTGAATCTTAATGGATTGAAAATGATTGAGTCAAAATAACTAAAGCTCCTCTGTTTGTTGATTATGATGATGGTGGGTCGGTGTTATAGTTAAATACTTAAATCTCCTATGAACTTTACTAAACTGAATTTGAATATACACTTAAAAGCTATGGATTGAGAGCCTTTGTCATTAGGCAAGGTGTCTTACTCAATTGCATGACAAAGAATCAAAGATTAAAATTTAAGTCTCAAGATTCGTGTCAAATATGGAGCCCTTAATCTTCTACCATATATTTTTTGACGTGAGGGTTACAAATAGTCATGCACCCTCCTTGTCAAGGTAGAAAATCCCGATCCAAAAACTACACTAAACAATTTATACGTAGTACATGTTAAATTTTAAGTTCAATAATGATGTATAATCCACGTGTAAGAGCTTTAGATGGAAGAAGATTAGATTTGGGAAACTTTAGTCCCGGCCTATAACAGTTTTAATTATTAGCATATGATATGTAACAAACATACATAGAATGTCTCGACTTTAGCTAGAATTGGGAAACTTTTGTAACACATTTACCTAGAATGTGGAAAGTATAAAGAAAAGGACCTATCCATTATATATTACCATTCCATTCAATATATACAAATGAATATACATGTACACTTACATTTTCCGAATCATATATGTGCAAATCAACATATTATACGGAGTATGTAATAGAAATAGACTTACATAAAACGCGACAACAGTGCCAGCTGAATTCCCCGGGATCAATTTGATTTGCATGTCAAATTGACCAAACAAGAATGTATAATTGCTAGACATCACACTTCCTGAATATAATAATATAATAACATAGAAGAGATCAAAACCAAGATTAATTAATAAGATTAATTAGTACTTCCATCAAACTGAATATTAATTAGTATTCTTCAGTTCAATACATTCTTCATAATTTATTACACGGCAAAGTTGATTTGTATTCCTATTAGGCTGTTATATTGCATAAAAAATGTCATTTTTGACTTTTCTTACCGATAGTGGTAAATTTCAGGTATTGATTTTAATTAATGTACTTGGTATTATATTAGTGTGTGAAAGTTATCAAGTATAATGAACATAATTTTAGTTTCGATCGTAACATTTTCATATGAAAGTAGTTACGTTTCTTAATTAGAAAATTCTTAAATAGGAGTACAGAAAGTGCATGGGTATATATTTTTGGGTAGGAAGTGTAATTTCTTGTGAAAATTAAAATCACTCAATTAGTTATAGAACTAAATCTGCATGTGAGTAAAGCTACATAATTCATAATAGGAACAATAAAAAATTACGTGACTAAAATTGCAAATCTCCCTGAAAGAGAATAATTTGAGCATATATATATCTACCAGAGTGATGGTCGAGTTTCAAGCTTCTTGATCGACCATCTGCCGAAGTATTGACATGATCAGGTGACCATTTCACTGAGAAGTCTTTGTTGAAATCTCCAGTTGAAACTTCCGATGATGCTAATGAAGCATGGAACAATAATAATGCACTAATAAATATGGAAATGCTTCCCATCATTTATCTTAATTTGAAGATTAACAGCCAAGGAGAAGGCTTGATTTAATTTAGATGGAAGTTAATTAAAGGGTATGAGGTATATATATAGGTATTGAATCGGCTTATTGCATGGGAATGACTTATGGGGGTGATCTAATCTAGGAGAAGAATAGAACCTAAAGAGAATTTTTGTTTAAGCAAGGATATCTTTAGAGGGAAGCAAATTAAAGGGATATTATCATGTAACTTAGATTTATTCTTATAATTATTATATGTCATTATTCCGTTACCACGAGCTAGGAACTCCAAATTCAAGTCGTGATCTCTCAGTCAAATGTATATACATTATGATCCTGCATTAATTAACCAAAGTTAATTAGTGCTTTACACGGTTTAACTTGACCAGGTTTTTAATTAATGAATATCCTTAGCTTGAATTAATTAGCTATTTTAATTAGATATTTTAGGACCTGTTTATATAGTTGCATTTCAATTCTTGTGGTTTGAAGTTTGAACTGATTTAGTTTATTTGAGTTTTATTATATGGAATAATGATTGCCAAATTATTCGAATTGATTTATATGGAATGTGCTAATTAAACATTTGTAATTGAAACTTGTGTTTTATACTGTAAAAAAGGTACTCCCTCTGTCCCTAAATAAACTTCCAACTTTCCTTTTTCGTCCGTCCCAATTAAAACTTCCACTTTCCCTTTTTGGCCAGAATTTGTGGTTCACAACAATTCTTACAGATTTCTCTCTCCTCTGCACAACTCTCCACCACACAATACCCAATATCTTAAACTCTGTGCCAAACCTATTTGGAAGTTTAATAAGGGACGGAGGTAGTATATCATATGCTTGTAATAGTTTTTTTTTTCTTTTTGGCAAGGGTACGCCTTTTGGCTAGCACACATTAAGGCTCTGTTTGCAATCACTTAATTTAAGTGATTGTGGTTTTTTTTAAAGAAAAAAAGCACTTATTTTACCAAACACTACCAACTTTTACTTTCTCGGCTTCTGTGTAGAATCTACTTTTTACTTTTTCTATTACACAAAAAACACTTATTTTACCAAACGCTACCAACTTTTACTACTAACCACTTTTTCCCAAAAAGTGCTTTTATTTAAGCACAATCACTTGCAAACAAAGCCTAAGAGCCCGTTAGAATCTCGCATGTCGCCAAACGAAGATGAATCCATGCCAAATAAATGAAATGATGATGATGATAGTAATAATAATAATAATAATAATAATAATAATAAGAATAAAAAATATTAAATTTTTAACCTATTATAAAAAGATTAAGTCAGATTTTTCTTTTCACTTTTAACCTTATGTGTGAATTTCTCAAAAACCACTCCGTAGTATGTACATAATAAAATAAAATAAAATAAAATAAAATAAAATAAAATAAAATAAATGACATGTATATTACTAAGAGAATTTCCCTAGATAAAACTATGACTAATTATGTTTTTGGCAAAAAAAATATGATGTGTCTCTGTGTACGAATAATTGGACAAGAGTCACTATATGTATTCAAAGCGACGAGTCACCAATAGATAATGATGAGTCATTGAGAACTAATCACTATATTTGTCACCTTTTTGAAAATTTTAAACTAAGTTTGTATTTGTATTTTGATAATTTAGTGACACATCACACACAAAAGGGCCTACTAAAATCAGGCCCCCACACACAAAATGGTGTTCTAGGTACTGGACCTCAGTTCGCCCCAAACAAAGAAAGCCGGGCCAAGCGAAGCACTGAAGGCACTGGACCTCAGTTCGTCCATCCTCACCGGTAACCGCGAGTTGAACTGTCGAAGCAAACAAGTTGAGACCTGCTGCCAATCACGCCGGTCGCCGTTCTCCGCATTGCTGGAAAGCTCGGAATCGTCCGAATCGCCCCTGCAATTCTTTGATTCGCTTCGCAGACCGCAGTGCCCTACTGTCCCGGGTCCGGCCCTGCGCGGCTTCTGCCTCCGCCCTTGCCTGCTCGCTGAGTTGCTGGTCTTCCGATCTTTCAGGTGTGTATTTTACTTTCAGTTTTGTTTTTCTTATATTTTATTGAGTTCATTTTATTTCTGGAATTTGACGGTGCTGTTTGTGAATTCAGAAAGATTGCTCCTTAGATTTATGGAACTTACTTGTGAATTTTCAAGTTGTAAATTCTGAATTCGTCTTTAGTTCGATGAATTATGATCTGTGATTTAATGTGAATATTGTGACTTGTTCGCATTCAGCTTATAGACCTTTTGTTCCATACGAGTCAAATTGTTGTTCTAAATTGTGAATAATGAATTCTGGAATATCCCTAGATTGCTGTTGTGAATTAAATGAGTAAAATCTACAATCTTACTTTTTAGTGTGAGGCTATATACAGCTGATAAAACCACCATTTTATGTCTAACTGTTAATGTACAATTGATGTGAATACATGCTTCTGATTTTCACATATTCTCAATAGTTTTTGTTATGATTAATTTAGGAAAATGATGTTTGTACCCACTTTTATACCCACTTTTGTACCAACCCATGTTTGTGAAGTTGTTTTTTTGTCTGTGAATTCCTTCACAGACAAAATATGTTTGTGAAGGAATTCAAAGACATATTTTGTCTGTGAACCGGCTTCACATACAAAAAAATAGCTTTCACAGAGGTGGGTATAAGGTGGGTACAAAGTGGTGGGTACAACAAGCATGGTTGATTAATTTATGATTCGCATATTCTATTTGACTTTTATATATTGATATTGATGTTATTTTATATATTACATTTGGCCCCTAATGATATCCCAATGGAAAGAATGGAATAGTTGGTAGAGAATTGCTTTCATGGAAAATAATTACATAGTGTTTGAGAAGAAATTTATATGATTCAGAATTTAATTTGTGCCTCCATATGTTTGATAATATGAAGTACTAATTTATCTTTTCATTCTTAGTGCATTTAGTTCATGTGCTTTCTGAAGTTAAAAGATGCTTGTTGCAATGGAAAGAAACCACGTTAGCTTTGCGCTTGCCTGAGTTCTTTGAAAAATGCAGTTTACTGTACCGTTGTAGTTTCTATATGCTTTCTTTCAACTCTAGGGCTATGTTTGAAACCTGGAAAATGGTATAGAAAGGGGGGAAGTGCTGAAGAAAGTAGTTTTTTTCTTTTCTTTTTAGAAGGTGCGTAGGGAAATCAAACTATATTATAACTTTCAACATTTTGCATGTATTTCGATTTCATAATCTATATACGTCTTCAGTTCCAAATTACTTGTCACATTTCAGTTTGCAGAGTTTGAGAAAGATTTTACAGAAGTGAGAAAAGTCACCTTTTGGGTGGGTGCATATGTAGTTAATGGTAGGTAAAGTTCTATTATGTAGGTCCTTTACAAAAAAAAAGCAGAACTGATACCAGATATATGAAATAGCCCAAAAAGAAAGGTGAGAAAAGTTATTTGGAATGGATGGGGTGGTATATTTGAAATAAATTTTAAAAATGTGTTCAAAGTTTCAAACATATATCACATTTCTTTCAGATATTCTCATCTTTCTCATCTTATTTTTTCCCTAGCAATGTAGCATTTTTGTGTTCCAAATGGACCCTAGCAGCTTATGTTGATCTATATGCATCCATGATCTAGACTAACTTTATATTTTCTAACTTGTTACACAGAAACATAGTACTCTTCCTCAATCATCATGTTCAAGCAATCTCCAACAAGCAGGAGCCATAGATCAAAAGGAATCAAGACCAAACATGTTCTACAAATTTGCCTGTTGCTTGCTGTTTGCTTCTGGCTGGTTTATCAAGTAAAGCGCTCCTACGATAAAGGCAAAGAGTTTGACGAAACTGATTCAGGCTTTTCACTGAAGTCAGGGAGCATATATGAAACAACAAAGTGGGGAAGGAAAAGTCTCCTTCCCCATTCATCAAACGGAATTACTACAACTAAACCCAAGCAAGATAATGAAAACCAAGATGAAGATGAAGACGCCAAGACTGAAGAAGTGGAACCAGATCAAGACAACAAGTTTGAAGATGAAAATGATGAAGATAGAGGGGGTGGAGATGATGCTGTTGATGAACATGATCAAGAGAAATCTGATGAACAAGAAGATGAACTTGTTGACGTAGAAACTGATATGAAAAGTTCTGAAGAGAATACTGATCATGAGCTTGATGAAGAAGACTCAATGAGTACCCATGAGGCACTTTATAAAGCAGATGACGCTTCAAGTGCAGTCACCCATGATACCGGCTTTGAAGATGCAATTGGACAAAACGCAACTCAGTTAACAGATGATCGCGAGACAAACCGTTCCCTAATCACGACAGGCCATGATGAAAGTGTCCCAGAGCACGTCTTATCCACCTCTATGAATACCTCACTGTTGAACAAAACAAGAATGGTGGAAACAAACAGTCATCTTGAACTGATAGTAACATTGCCAAATTTGACAGAATCAAATATAAATTCCACCATTGAGGGTAATAATGTCATAGCTGGCGGGGAACACTCATTGCCGTTCACTTTTACACAGCAAATGAACGCATCTGTACAGATTGTTGAAAAAACTCTATCTGATTCTAATATAACTTCCACAGGAAATGAGGGTTTTACTTCAACCTCAGAAATCTCCTCAACTGCCTCGACTATCACACCTTCTGCCTCAGGTGATACCACACTCGAAGATCATTCTGATACATCCATTCCCTTGGAAGAGAAAGAAGTTGGTATAGATTTGGAAACTCTTCCTCAGATACAGACCGAAGGAAGTAACACAGAAGATGAAGCAGTAGAATGAAATTTGTCATAGATCAGTAAAAATGGTTCTGTTGAGGCTCAAGTTTATTTTGGTTCCTTTGTTTTGTGAGCATCCCAAGCTAAGAGTGTTCTTTAGTATGCAGCATTGGTAATTTTCGGGAAAGTACAATTACCAATTAGCATGAAAAATATAGGATTGTAGTAGTATGTTCTGCAAGAGTGGATCTTGTGGAATCATTTGTAGTTATAATAACACTTTCCTCTCACTTTCGAGTTTGTTTACACTTGTGTCTTGATCTTAAAAATCTCAGCCTTTTCCATCACTATCTAAGATGATGTACTAATGGGATGCTTCTGGGGTTAAATTTTGTTGAGGAAAAAATTGACTTGTTGAATACATCTAATGCCTGTTTGGTTGGGCAACTTCCATTGAATAGTGCAAAAGTTATTTTTGCACTATTATTTATTATCAGATCCATATCATGCAACCAGGTACGTAACACTGTAACAGTTTGGTAGAAAATTTGAATGTGAAGTTATAAAAAATGAGGGTGTCATAAGGCTTTAATAGAGTTGTGTTTATCACTTGAAAAGAAGTTTAACTCTGACTTCCAACTTTTCAAGTTACAATCAGTTTGCATTATCCTTCTTTAAAGTGGAGTGTAAAATTTGAATAAGTTCACCAAGTGCACATGCCTGAATAGTTAATACAGAGTTACTGTTGGAACTGATATTGGACCAAAACCGAGTAGGTCTAACTGATTCCGGTTCTTCCCCGATACAACTGGACCGACCTAGTATCGGACTGAAATCGAGTGGGTCCAACTGATTCCAGTTCCTCGAAAAGAAGTTCAAATGTGCGTTGCACATACCTGAATAGATAATACAGAGTTACAGATGGAATTGGTATCAGACCGAAACTGGGTAGGTTCAACTGATTCCAGTTCTTCGAAAATACAACTGGACCGACCGATTCCAATTATGATTTTTTTTATATAAAAAGAATAGGCCGAATTTTTTAATCGGACCTCAACCGTTATAAAACCAGGACCAATTCACTTGATTAAAGTTGTGGTTAACCCCAACTCAAGTGGGCTTGGTCAGGAGGTTGACTGTGGCCCAGTGTGCATAGGCCATCAAGTCATGACACAGTTGGCATTTTGGACGGCTGAGCCTATATGCGTTGATAAACCGACAATGCACATAGGGTAGTCCGCTTTCAGTGGTTTGCTGGGGCATCCCTACTCTCAGGTAAGTCTCATGGCAGCAATCATGTAGCAATAGTATCTTACATATTGATTTATTGTTTGATGCTTAATTCATGTCATATAAATGTTTCTGTGACATCCTTTTCAAATCATGTTAGATAACTGGAGGGTCAATATATAAGTCAACTTGACCCCATATGGACTACCCAAGTAATGGGTGCCAGGAAAAACCAATACACTACAATTTGGAGCGATTTTTAACACTCCCCCTACTTTTATCTGTCTCTTTTATCTTTTCATCCATACCACTAACTTTGTCTCATATTCCACTATACTATCAACCACATGTCCACATGTCCACAATTGGAGCAAATATTGTAATATTTGAGTGATTACAATTCATTCTTAATTTATTCACATTTTACCAATATAATATCAATCACATGTCCACATGATTTCATTTTTCTTTATAACTCCATCACTCCTTTTTGTTTCAATGTTAGTGGAACGAAAATAGTACTATACAAATTTGTGGTTTCACCCTAAATTGTTGTCTCAATAAAAGTTCTAGCTTAGAATTCTATATTACCAGTAGTTTTTACTATTCTATATTCACATTGTTTTTGTTTGGACTCAAAATTTTAAATTTGATATAGTCATATCCAATTTGTTTAAAGTTGATCTAATCTGAACTAGTCTTTTATTACATCTAGCTTTTTCAAGTTTACTTACTCATATTTTATGTATTTTTATATTGTTCCAGTTTGATTAAGTATGATCTAGAGCCTCTTGTATAACACTAAATTGGCTGAAATGACTGAATTATGAAAAATTGCATTAAAAATACACTAGTATTTCATTACGAAAATAAAAAAAAAATGAAAAATAGCAAAAAATGATCATCTACAGCAGCTTCAGCGGAAATAGCTGAATTGGAGTATAATTCAACATGTGAAATGTAAAGTTACGTGTTTGTTGAAAAATTGATTAATAAAACTTATAAATTGAAAAACAAGCTTACCAAACTGCCTCCTATTATCTATGTGATCTATTTAGATCTAGCAACTAAGATTTGATTTGGCATCATCTTAGATTGAAAACATCGATTGAACATACTTTTCGATATTAATACTCCTTATAATTTGCGAGGGCCTCAGTGTGGGTGTCAAGTTGGATCCACAATTTAACATCTCTCAAGCTAGATCAGATGAAACAAATTATAAACATGAAGACTTATCAAAGATATTCAGATTAAATGCTATATTAGGATAAGAAAATTTGACAAAGTTATAAAATTCAGTTCGGGTTGATGCGCAAAGAAGAAACACTCTCAAGTGACTCTCATATGAAAAACTTCGGTCTCAATAAATTAGGCATATATAATAAAAGCTCATATCAAATCGTATGCCTTCTTAGGTAAAAACCAATGGAAATCAGGTCCAAATATCATTTGTGAGTGGGCATATACGGAGTATATAAAAGTTCATATCAAATCATAGGTCTTCTTAGGTGAAGACCAATGGAAACTAAAGTCCAAGTATCATATGTTAGTGGACATTGACTTTTGTGGTATATCTCATTTTATCTTCGTAATTGACAAAATGTTGCCAATATTAGCTTGACCATTCATATGGAATACTTGGAAAAAGCCCATTGATTTCATGTACCATGAATATCTTTTGCTGGAATATAGCCATGTTATTGCGGTTGAAGTAATTTTTTGTAACATAAATGGTAGTGAAAGGTGAGAATATTTTAAAAAGTTAAATACATTACTCCGAATATAATAATTACAATAGTGCTATTTCGTGTGCATTTCGTAGGAAAATTGACCTATTGCTGGTCATTTACTATTGTTTGTCGTTTGGATGGCTTAAAAGATTAGACACTTAGTTAAAAGAATGAAAAATATCATTTATACATATTAATTGATTATGGGGTATCCAAACGTACAATTAATTAGGAGAGATTGAGCTAGTAAGAGAAAGAATATGATGAATAGTGTAATGTTCTATTTAATTATGTTCTAGGTTTACAAGACCTCCCATTGGGTCTATATACTCAATCAGATACTTTTTTGTACACACCTCTGTGAATGTTCTGTTCACAGAAAAAGATAACTTGCTCACTACATATTGTCTAAGAAGTTTGTACAAAAAATGTGTACATGAAAAATCATTGAAAAAGAACATATCACATTTTAGGATTGCTGATAAATTTGATGTCCTCCCGTTTTATTGATTACTCAAAGAGTATCATGGCCTTTTTTTTACATCTTTTCTTTAGGGGTGGGAAGTTCACAAGAAGGATTTGCCTATCTAGACATGCCTAGATGCTCCCAGCTTTGGATTCTCACCCAGAAAAACAGCAAAACATGTGATGCCCATTGACTGATTGACAACTCATTCCTCAACTTGCTCCATTTCGACCGGGAACTAATTTCCCTGTTCTTGATATTATATGTTGGATCATTGTCACCATATTATTTCACCAAGCTCATATGCGTGTTCTCTTAATAATGGTGAATGAATTTGTCAATTTTGATAATCAAATGTCGAGGTTAATAACTTATTAACCTCATCTCATAAGTTCAACTAGGGAGTAATTCGTATGGGTTAAGTGGTGTTAGTTAAAAGGAGAAGATAGAACTTGAATCCTCTCTATTAGGTTTCGGATACATGATACAATACACTGAGATTAAGCTTATACGGAGTACTACGTACATTTTAATGTAATCCTGTCACGAATATATTTACATAGAGAATAAATGTCCTCAAGTAATCCCTGCAGCAACAAACCTCTTTTAATAGAACAAATAGAGGATATTTATAGTTGAGAGTGCTACTTCACTCTTGAGAGGTTGACATATCAGCTCCTCTTTGGTTGGCTCTTCATCTATCAAAATTCATGGATGTTCTTCTCCTCATATTTGAAATTTTGCCAAAAACTAAATTTTGATAGAGTCACGTCTTTGTGTGGCGAGACCGCGAGAGTGGGAAACATGCTTGTGGCTTAACGCGTGAGAGGATGTACGCGCATTCGCGGAGACCACGGGCCCATGGCGTGGACAAGAACAAAAGTCGGCATTAACCCGAACAAAGATTTTTTCATATAAATTTTTACGCATAAAATACATACATTTTTCAAATAAGAAGTGTGTGCAACACAGCTTGCTTCCGCCCCTAACTCGCTAGTGACCCATGTGTAACGAGCGATGCGGCTCTACGGCGAGCTCTTGATTCGCTATCGGGCAACATAGTGTTGTGCCAACTTGCAGTCCGATCCGTTTGTTGGGACTTGGGGGCAAGGCTCCCTTCAGTGTGCCATACATCCGGTTTAGGTGTCCTGGGTCCATGTTCGTTTTCATCCCCAACCTTACCAGCCCATGATTGATTTGGGCCTGCCTGGTACGTTTGGGCTGATATCCCCACACCAATTTTTTTTAGTCCAACTAATATGTACTCCGTAAATATGTTCGGATATTTTTCTCTCCCATAAATTTTTTATATCTTGTGGTCCGCGTGGAAAAATAAAATAAGCAACAAACATCTCAGTGTAAGAAAAATCTTCCAAAGTTAAGACAGTAAATTGCACAAAGTTTATGGAAGTGTAGCTATCGATTACAAAGCATGACTCAAATGATCATCTGAATGTTATTTATTTATTTATTTATTTACTTATTTATATCTATATCTATAATATAAACTGTATTCAATCTAAATCATCGACCTTATTTCTTTTTTACTTTCTTCTCGCATTATAACTATACATGATTAACTTTTAGTGGGTTTTTTGTTTCGGTTTTTGTCATTCGGAGTAACATTTTTTCGAATCTAAAACTCAGCCTTAAAGAATAATTGCGGTTTATTAGTGCTTGACAAAATCAATAAGGAAACAAAAAAACAAATCGTCTGTGGGCATATCAATTCTCTTCTCCAAATCTAAGCCTAAGCAATAAACAATTTGACCAATCAGTAAGATTGGCTGTAAATCAAACCGTACTTGAAAATATACAACGTCAGACTAAAACTGGACCCGAACGAATTGTCCGGGGACCCGATTATCACGACTCTTGATCCGAATGTCTTAACTCTTTCCGGAGCTTCTGAGAAAACGGCCGGCAGGCATCCATACTAAGATCCAAGGCAGCTGCCAACGCCACGAACGCCGCCGCATCCTCCGCGCAGGTCACGTGCTGAACCCCAACCTCCACCTCCGTCTTGCCGC